AATCTGAAAAAATATGTGAGGGAAACACATTCATCTAAATTATTGAAAAATTTAAAAACCTATAGGTATTTATTATTGTGTTTATTTATTTTTATTTTTGTTAACATCAATATTTAAATCTTTCTTGGAAATACAGGCTTGCACCAGGTTTCAGTTTCATGTCAAAAGTAATTTGGAGCCATTCCTTTTCCAAAAGGAAAGAATATATTTCAATCAATTATGCTTGAGTCTGAGATTTTTTTCCTGCCTACCATTTAGAAAATAAGGCCACAAAACAAGATTTAGAGAAGACACTATTGTATATCAAAAGTTCGAAGTTTGCATTCTACTTTAATTAATAGGATAATCATGGACTAGTGTGCCCACACATACTGTTTTCTCTCTCTCTTTCTCTCTCTCTCTTTCTCTCCCTCTCTCACATACACACACATGCACACATACATCATCTTTCCTTATAATTCTGTTTTCCCTTTTATTTATTAGCTTTTAATGGTCCCATTTCATAGTTTAATAAGATTTTGCAATTTGTAATTTCCTTTTGAAAAATAAGTCATGAGGGTACATAAATAATTTTGAAAAAAATTGAAGACATTGAAAACCTAATCAAGATAAGATAACAAATTAAAGTGAACGTTGAAGTTGAATTTTTATGAAATGGTTATTTGTAATTGTGCTATGAAGATATTGTGATCATAGCAGTTTCTTATAACATTGGAATATTTTCTTAATAGCATTGTTCAAAGCAAAGATTGGTGCTATTTCATTTAAGTACTTGAAACATCATTATTAATTTAAAGTGGAAATCTATACAAAAGTAAAACATTAAGCACATTATTTTATTATTATATTTAATTAAATTTATGCTAAAATATTAGCCTTAGACCTTTCTTTTTATTTGTAATTTTAGATAATAAAAAGCTTTATTGAATCTACTCTATTCAATACATACACAACACCAGTTTGGAATTTATAGAAGTATTTTTATGTTATTAAGCACTAATATCATAGCTTCAAGAATTGAAGTCAAATATTATTTAATACTAATATGCTGTCAGAATAATACTAATACCATAAAATAGAAATATTATATAATAATAAAACCATAATTTTTATTTTATTATATAAAATTATAAACCATAAAACTTTTATGAATGCTCTAATGGTGGGTATGACAGATGCAACCTCTACATATCAAAATAAATTACAAAATTCATTGGATTTCCTCTCAATTGCTTCTAAGTCACAACATTTACAATGTGAGGTTCTTTTGAACATCATTATTTAAGACATTCAGAAGAATCTTTGAGGGCTAGGAAGGTGGCTCAGTGGTAGAGTGCTTGCCTGGGTTTGATTTCTCAGCACCACATAAGCAGAAAAAAGCTGGAAGTGGTGCTGTGGCTCAAGTGGTAGAGCAGTAGCCTTGCGCTGAAGAGCTGAGGGACAATGCCCAGACCCAGAGTTCAGGCACTATGACCAACAAAAAAACAAACAAACAAACCAAAAGAACTTGTACACTCCTTTAAATAAAAGTAGTTTTTCTGTTTCGTTTTATTGTAGCAGAACAGTTTCTCTCAGGAATGCTTTGCATTCTTCATCATTACCCAGCATTAGGCTGTAAGCAGAATCAATTGTGGCAGACATGTGCCATCTCAATACTCACCCTCAAATCCACCTTCCAGCTCATTGCTCCAGTTATTCCTGAGGGTGCTCACCAACTCAAGATCACTTCTTCTAAAATGGAATGCAATCCTCTCAATTGGCCAACATTTGTCAAAAATGGCAAATCAGGCTTTGATGTTAAGAACATGATGAAAATAAAACAGGACATCAGATACAAATAGACATGAGAGGTGTTAGTTGTTAACATAAATGGTAATAGGTATGGGAAAGGGTATACAGAAATATGACAAAAGGAAATTTTTCATTTTCTCCATTTCTCTCCAGACTAAAAGTATAATAATAATAGAGAGAAAGTTATGGCTAAGCTTTACATAGTGTGTGAGTCAACTCAAGATAAATGTCACAAAATCCTCTGGTCAGATTTACTTGGTCTGCCATCTTTGAAGAGAAGATTCAGGCTCATACATAATTCAGTAATCAGATGCTTAGGAAAAAGGTATCATGTTATAAATGTCTGTGACCATTGAGCCATATCCATCTGGAAATTGAATGAAGGAAAATAATCAAGAGTATTTTCTTCAGGGAAAGCAGAGAGGCATTCTAATGGATCTGATATAATCTATAATCCTTGCTAAGACTCAGCATTCTCTAGGTCTTGGATAGGGGTAACTGCAGCATAAAGAAATAAAGCTCATACAGCTTGGAAGAGAAAGAAGAACAAAAAGTGTGTCTTCACAAATAAAACAATATTTATGTATTGCACTCTAAGGAATCAGTGACAAGAAGTACAAACTATAGGATGGATTAAAGGTGGTTCGCAAGTCCCAGGAGTAAAAAAGCAAATTTTTAGAAATCAACTGTACTTCCTGTACAAAATAAATTACACAAACAAATTCCAGAAGTATAAAATAGAAGATATTTAAGAAATAATAATGAAGAGTGTGGTGATATGTATATTTTGACATTGAAGGAAGTTGTGCATGAGACCTTCTCTCCTTTCTCTCTCCCTTCCTGGCAATGAAGTGAATGATTTGGTTCTCTCCATGGCTCTTCTATAATGTTGAGAACGTTAGGGATTGTGCAACCCCCATCTTTCATAGTGAAAGAGAGGCTGAGATTTCTGGAGCTAGATACTGAAAGCTCTGTGTTTCACTTCCCGACTGTCTTGGGATGCTTGATCTAGAAACCTAATTACTATATTAAAAAAATACCAAGTGTCTGTGAAGAGGTCAGGTTGGAGAGGAATTAAGTCCTCTGTCCATACTCTGAGACATGTTTTCAGATGACAACAGCAATGTGCTAGACAGGTGAATAAATTATTCTAGTCAAGGTGTCTCTCCAATGTTAGTCAAGCTGCCCAATTCTTTTTATTTTTGTCAGTTGTGGGCCTGAACTCTGGGCCTGGGCACTGTTCCTCAGCTCTTCAGCTCAAGGCTAGTGCTCTACCACTTGAGCCACAGCGCCACTTCCGGCTTTTTTCTGGTGTTTTTTATATGGTGCTGAGGATTCAAAGCCAGGGCCTCATGCTTGCAAGGCAAGCACTCTACCACTGAACCACCTCCCAAGCCCAAGCTGCCCCAATTCTATTGCTGCCAGCAAGTTGAGTCTTTCTCAATGAATGAATTCCCAATTGCTGATTTGTGAAGAAGAAAGAAGAAGAAAGAAGAAGAAGAAGAAGAAGAAGAAGAAGAAGAAGAAGAAGAAGAAGAAGAAGAAGAAGAAGAAGAAGAAGAAGAAGAAGAAGA